TTATTATTTTTTTTTTTATTTATTATTATTATTTTATTATTATTATTATTATTATTATTATTATTATTATTATTATTATTATTAATATTAATATTAATATTATTAATATCCTAGTGCGCATTTTACATACAACAATCTCCAACGATGACTTGTGCGCTATTATTGTTTTGGAATTTTAAAATATCCAAAACAGCTTTGTTGGGAGTTTATCATTATCACCAAATGACAAATTTTTAATTTTATTTTTTTTTTTCAAAATTTTTTAAAACAAATAAATAATTATCTAACATACTAGATTCTCCACTGTCAAAATTAATTTTTTTTATAAGTATTATTATTATTATTAATATGATTATTATTATCATTATTAATATTATTATTATTATATTTGTTTAAAACTGTATAGTAGGATTCTGTAATCGGGTTTTATTTTGTCGACGTACAAACTACCGATACAAAAATAATGGAGATATTTAACGTGAATAATCACGTAAATATATATCCACATTCACTAGTAATCATGATCAAATAATTTACACACAGCTTCGTCGATTATTTTATTAAGTACAACAGACATCCTCAATATGTTTTGGATGATTCAATAAATATAAATATATATCCATACATACATAATATATATTTATATATATGTATGCATCACATCTATCTATTGAATTTCATAATATATTGATGGATTACCCGTACACGGTTGATTGCTAAATTCATGTGTCGGTTGTTGTTATTATGCATCTAAATATCCACATATATATATTATGCATAAATCATGTTATAAATTAGTTTAATATCACTTACTTAAACAAAGCAGTGGTAGACAACAGGGTCAGATAACTGGGCGAGAATTAAAATTTAATTTTGATTACGACACGGTGATTTTTTTAATAAATCCAAAACAATTGGTCAGTGTTGTTCCCTTTTCCTTTAATATAATTTTTAAATTTAATAAAACAACGCACAGCAGTTTTAGATTTTAGCTATTGGTATGTCATATGGCATATGGAATATTGGTAATAATTTTTATTTATAATTTTAATTAGCGGTCGTTGGTAATAACTGAGTAATTGATAACCCATACTGATACTGTTACATCCCATAAATTTTAGCTGATCGTGGTGTTCTTATTGTTGTGCTTTTGATGCAGACGATGCTAGTGGTAAGAGGATAGTTGTTGCTGTAGGTGATTGTTGCTCCTGTTGGTGAATTGCTTGGATGCTTCTTTACCATCACACTAGAAGACTAGGTGTCAGCCAATCCTCATCCGCTAGCTGAACCGCAACCAAGAACACACTTTACCATTTGAACATACAAACGATAATTCAGTTGTTTTAATTTTTTTTCATGATCGTACTGTTAACAGGTCATTATTACATGCTGATAATTTTATGGTAATTTTTTTTTTTTTTCATTATATAATGGAATTAAATAGCACGATTTAACAATTCTGAATCCTTCAACCGGTTTAAATCCCTCGTGAACAGTTGAATCGATTTTATAAACCTTTACGTTTCCGGAACTTTGGCGAATAATTTTTTTGGCAACTTGCCTTATCTTTTTGCTCGCGGAGATTATTTTTTTACTTGAAATTAAACTACAGTTCCGAGTGAGCCAGGACCACCTGATTGAAAAATAAAAGAGTGAGCATTAATTGTTTTTTTAGTTCTTCATTTTTTTGGAAATTTCAATCAAGTGATATTTTTAATCAAAAGAATAGAAGGATTTAAATTTTTTGCGGGAAAGAAAATTTTAGTTAAGATTATTAATAGTTTTGACGGATAAAATTTTTTAATTAAGGTTGCATAATCTCTAAAGAGTTATCATACACTGTAAAAAATCGGAAGTGAATTTTTGATTCTATCGAACTTAAAAAAAAGGTTATATTAATTTTTAAATCTCTAAATCCGCACAATGTAATTTTCGAACGTATAACAACTGTTCTTTTTTTTATTCAATAAAAAAATTAAGAATTTATTCTGCGAAGCATTTTTTTAATTAATCTATATTATTAAGAGAATAAAAAAAAATTTTGTCTCCAGGATAGTCACATAATAATAAAATCTGTTTTTTTTTTATGGAATTTAGTGTCATTGCAAAGGTCTTGACTTGAATTTGTGCCTTTTCAAAGTTTTATATCATTCTCATCAATAGTTAATTTATAATGATAGGTATTTATGCTGCATTCGAAAATGCTTTAGCTCTAGCTACATAAAAAAAAATGACCTTATATCTTGTGAACTATTGAGATTTTTAAAGAAATAAGCTCACCCCGACATTGCACTCATTGAAACCTTTCATTTAAGTACCCACATCAATTTTTCATATATTTATATATATTATATACATGTATATATGAAAAATATATCAAAATGCATGTGGGTACTCAAATGAAAGCTCTTGATGAGTGTAACATCGGGATGAGTTTATATCTTTAAAAACTTCAATAGTCAAGATAGTACAGGGCATTTTAACAAATATCTTGTGAACTATTGACATTTTTAAGAATATAAGCTCATCCCGATGTTACACTCATCAAGACTTTTCATTTAAGTACCCACATCAATTTTTCATATATTTATATATATTACATATATGTATTATATGTATAGATGAAAAATACATCAAAATGCATGTGGGTACTCAAATAAAAGCTCTTGATGATTGTAACGTCGGGATGAGCTTATATCTTCATAAATCTCAATAGTTAGGACAGTACTGTACACTTTAACAAAAGTCAATATGTAATTAAGAAAAATTTTATTTATTATACTTCGCAATTCTCGGCAGTTACATAGTGACTGCAGGTTGCTATTAGTATAAATAAAATCCTTCTTGGAGTGAATTAAATCAATTAAAAATCATCTACTCTGCAAATTTTTGACAATGTACGTTCAATTTACTTTTTTCTTCTGAATTGGACTCAGAAATGACAACGGTTAATTGCAAAACTTAGAAAAAAAAAAAGAAAAATAAATGATCGACAATAATAATTACCATGAAATTCTCAGCTTGTGTCTATTTTTTATTCTCGAAGTAAAGTATTATCTTTAATGGACTTTTAAAAATAGTACTACTGTGGTTGGTATATTTATGTTGGTAATGAGTTTTCTTTATTAATAATTTTTGGTATGCTAATTTAAAAGTTTAAACAAAGTTCACGTGAGTTCTAAACTCATTTTATCAGGAGGTTAGAGTGCTCTGTTTAAAGTTTAATATTTTCTGTTCATATTAACCAGTTTTCTCGAGCTGAGCATATGCCACTAGATCATAGCTTTGTGTAATTATTTTCTTTTATCACCATTATTAAAATATAGATATTTCTCACGGTAGAATTCTAAAATAGAGTTTAATTATTAATAAAAATAGTGGGTTATTTTTAAAAACATTAAAACAATATTTGTACGGTGAAAATAAAACATTCAACCATTCTAGATATTTTTAAGTCACATTAAAAATAATGTAAAAAATTCTCGGTTATTATTACCAGAACCAGGACATTAATTAACCTTTCTCAACGCTCACAACCTCCGAACCCGAGTTGAGCAAATAAAATAAAAGAAATTAAATTAAAAACCACTTAAAATTACAACAGCTTGATTTATTAATGTCCGTAAGGTTGTTGGCAATAACCAATAGTTTTTTTTTTTTTTTTTAATTAGCACACCAGTTAAGGTATACACACTGAAAAAAAATAGTTGATTAAAAAAAAATATTTTCTTAAAAATTTCACTCTTGTTTTGAGATATTAAATTTGAATTAGTACAAAATTTTCACGAACAGAATTAAAAAAAATAAAGAGGATAAAAAGATAAGAATCCCATTAGAAAAATGTTTTTTATAGTATATGTTGAGATATAAAAAATCTCTAGTAAATATATTAAAACCAAATGGAACATATACAAAACTACATAAAATATTTATACGACATATGTTTAATAGTCAACTTTAACCATTTCAAGATGATTTTTTTATGAGGGAAAAACTATATTTTACCCAAAAGTTTTTTTTTCTTGATCAAAGATACTCTTGAATGAAGAAACTTTTTCTTGAACCAAAAACATAAAATTCTTAAAGGCAAAGAAAAATAATAAATTTAGATCTTAAAACTTCTTAAATAAAAAATACATATCAAGGGATTCGAATCTTTTTTTTGTTTGTTTGTTTACCTATCAGTTTACAGCTTTTTTAATGATTTTTGGATAAAAAAAATAATATAAACTAATTAATTCTATGACGACTAACTAATTTATTTAGTTGTCACAGGCTGTCGTTGGTAGCTCTCGGACATAACTTTTTGTTTTAGTTATTTTAATATAATTTTGAAAAATGTTTTATAAACTTAATTTTTCTTATTATTTAGTTATTCTACTTTTTTTTATCTAGCTACATGAGAAGAAGAAATGTTAATATTAACAAAAAACCCAAGTTACGGGATTTAAACCTTTTTTATTTTGTTTAAAGTTTATTCATTAATTTTTTATGGTACATGTTTTTGAGTTCTTAGGTCAAATAAACAAAAAAGAAAACCTTATAATCGTTATAGTGGTTAGAGAAGTTACAGGCTGTAGTTAGCAGCACTCGGACTTAAACAATCTTTGTGTATTAAAAATAAAAAAATTCTTGTATTATTGTAATAGGATGTTAATTTTTTTGATCCTAAACAATCTCGGGTTAACCGTTTTTCTTTTGCGCCACAGCAAAAAGTTAAGGCAGTTCTTTTTCGAAAAATTTTATAAAAACGCTCTTTTCGACAGTAAAAATAATAAAATTGAAAATTCAATCGCGACGTCCTTCAAAAAATTAAATAGTGATTTTGGATCTCGAATTTATTTAGAAATTCGTGGATTAAGATAATTATAGTTTCCTTAAAAATAATTTAATCTCGGATCAACAATATTTTTCTTGTATCAACTTTTTTTTTTTCAGTGCTTAAATAATCTATAAAATTGTTTCAAATAATTCAAAATGGAACGAAATGAGGAGGAAACTTATGAAATAACGAATTGATTTACCTGGAATTGTTGCATAGGATAGGCCATCATTTGTGCGGGTGGAGGTTGAGGTTGAGGTGCAGCCTGAACTCCTGGGGGTGCCGTCACTGTTGTAGCGTGATGAGGTGGTAGTTGAGGTCCACCAGGTAAACCTTGGCCCCATCCAGGTGCAGTACCTGCCGCATGTACGCCCATCCCCATTCTGCAATCCAATTTTTTAACATTTTACTTTCTTTCTACGTAAAAAAAAATCAATATAGAAGTCAGCAATTTTTAAGTTATAATAAATATCTTCTAGTAAATTGACGTATACTGTAAAAAATTTTCGAAGTGAATGATTTTTGCTCGAATTAATCCCGAGAATAATTTTATTTTGATTATTAATGAAGAAATCTCCGAGTAATTTCTTTATTGTTTTTTATTAAATAACAATTAAAAATAGTAGTTTGATTCAAAAAATAAATTTTAATATTTTAAAAAATTGCATTAATCTTTTTTTTTAATTTCTACAAGTAGTATTTTTAGATAAATTCTCTCTATAATATATTTATTTGTAAATAATAAATTATTATTATATGTATATTAAGAAAAAAAATACTTTTGCTCAATGAACAATTTCTTGGCTCAAGAAACTCGCTGACGATAAAATATTTTATTATTATTAATTATTAATTTCTGAAGAGAAGAAAATCAATATTCATCTTCGGATAATAGATAAACAAAAGAATAGCTTTATTTAAATTAAGTAAAAATTACTTCAATCGATTTAACAATTTCTTGAGCTAAGAATATATATTCTTGAAAATTTTCAAGAACATAAATTCTTGTATCAAGAAAATTTTCTTAATAAAAGTATTTTTTTTTCTCAGTGTATAATAATTTAATATATAATAATTTATTTGTAAAGAAATCATGAAAATTGCTGTATCAAAGTTAATTTCAGTAACATTAAAGTAATTAATTTTATTTAATGAAAGATAGTAATGTTAATAATTATTAACATTACTACCTTTAATTAAATAAAATTATAATTTATTATTTTTAATTTTTTACATTAAGATTTATCAACAAGATTTGAAAACAAAATAATCTTTATAAAAATTTGGTTCAATGTTCTAAAATCAAATTTTTTAGAAAAATATAATTATTATTTACAAAGTTAAACTTTAAATAAATTATTTAAAGAATTTTTTAGTAATTTGACCTACGAAACTTGTTTCAGCTAATTGAAATTTATTTTAGTTAATTTTTTTACTCGACTTTTTACAACTTACACGTAAAAACAGTAATTAAAAACAAAACAAGTTAAAATGTAAAATATGAATAATTCGTACCCCATGTACTGAGCCTGTTGATAACCAGCAAATTGACCGTAAGTGTAGCCCTGCATACCCTGGAGGAACCCACCGGCTTGCATCTGAGTTGCCGCCGTTGTCGGATAAGATTGTGGTGGATACCAATACCCCAGTTGACCTGTGCCTCCTACACCACCAACGTTCCCGACACTTCCCACACCCGCGGCGGCAGCGGCAGCCGCAGCCGCAGCCGCTGCATAATATGGATATGTTGTCGAGGAAAGCGCCTGTGTACATGTAAATGGTATTTTATTAGTTAATATAATTGTGGAGGAATATACATATATGCATTAATGAGCTTGTGTGTGTGTCTGTGTGTCTGTATGTCTGAATGTGGAATAGAAATAAATACATTAGAGCAATCACAATCACAATCACAATCACAATCGAGCATCAGCAATTATTCTACAGCAATTCTACTTCTCATTACTTAACTTTTGAATATCGATGGCCTAATTAGCGAAACCCCCAATGCCTTTGTATGCCATTCTATCGGAGTCATTTGGTATTGGCTTAGTAATTAGGCCATCGATATTGACATTATACGGTTTTAACTTCCTGCTTTTAAAGTTACCAACTTACTGGATTTTAAATCTACTTTTTTTCGTTTTAAGTTATTTCATTTCTTACGGATAAATTATACTAAGTCTTTTATTATCTTACACAGATTATAAAAAAGGTTTTTTTTTATCAGTCTTTAACGATTCAATTATTTGAAACTTTTGTTTCCGATTTTTAGTTTATTTAAATAATGTTATAGATTGAAAAATTTTTAAATCAAACCCTTTTAAGTCATGAATATTTAAGATTTATCTGAAGATATGAAAAAATGAAGAAAATAATTATTTTTCTTTTAAGAGAGTTATTAGTGAGACACAAAATAATTTTTAATTGAATTACTAATTCTTTAAAAATGATCTTACGCCACCTGACAAGTTTCTGGAGAAAAATGATACAAAAAGCTGTTAGGAAATTAATCAAGTCACTGAAACTAAACTTTCATTCCCAGAAACATTTATCATTAATCATTTTTAATAATAATAATAATAACCATCATAACAATATTTTTCTCTTCAATCAATATTTTTAGGATTATGGTCACTTCTATGTAGTGACTAGATAATTAACACTACTTAAAATACTGTATCTCCTAAAATACTAGAGTTAGCTCTATAGTATAAAAACGTTTTTTGTAGGAAATTTTTCAAGCTACAACTTCGGATTCTTATGATTTTTCTCAAAAATCAATATTTCAAAAATTTGTAACCATTTTTATAGTAAATAAACAGTGAATTTTTCATTTTTGACTATGTAAGTACTACTTAACAGCATGTAATACAGTCTGTTGTCGGTAATTCAGTTTGGAGTAGCAATAACAAATGCCAATTGAATATATCGGATTGTTTATTTGAAACACATAAAATGCACTGAAGATTATCAGGCTGACTGTCTATATTCCCAACACTGTTCAAAAAAATTAAACTATAGTTTATTTACTATAGTAAATGAAATTTTTTGTTTATAATTAGTTTTCTATTCAAACCTAGTTGCATTTTAATAATTCTGTCTTATAAGTAATCTAAACTAAAGTAAAGATTAACCAAAAAATTAAATCAATCTTAAAGATTATATTGGTTGTAAGTTTATGAGTAATTTCGTTATAGTAAAGTTTATTTACTTGAATATATGATGGGCCCGGAGATAAGGCAGTTTTACGCGCGAACTCTACCTATTTATTTATCATTTTGTTATTTTTTTTTCAATGATTAAATTTAAAAATAGAAGAATCAATTTACGAAGGACTATTATTATTAACATGCTTCTGCCAAGTTTAATGATTTTTTGTTTAAAAATTACTTGGTCAAAAAGCGTCTCAGTATTTTGTCCAAAATTTGAATATTCTCTGTCCTACATGTCCTACGTAAGTTACTATAGGATAGAAGTACCGGTTTTGGCCAGTTAACATTTGAATTAATTTATACAAAATTATAATATTATAACCATATTTTTTTTGAGTTTTAAAAAATTTATATTAAAACAAATTGAGTTTGTATACAGAAAAATGAATTTACTTAAATCAAGTAATTAATTTTGAAGAATTTCGACTTCTTGATTTGAGTAGAAAATTTCTGAAACTGAGAAATTTTTCTTGGCTCAAGTAAATTTTACTTAATTCGAGAATTTTTTGTCTTGATTAAAGATAATAAAACTCTTCAAAATTATTTTCTTGGTTCAAAAATTTTTCTCTTGATTCAAGTTAATTTTTTTTGAGTGTGATGGTTTATTAATATAAATTCATTTATCTCGTTTATTTGAACAATAAATGGCCATAAACGGTACAGTGGCCACAAATGGTACTTCTACCCTATCTTCTAAAATATTGAAGATAGCTCGATGGTGTAAACCTTTTTTGTAGAAAATTTTTAAAACTAAAATTTTTTCCAAAAATCAATATTTTAGAAGTTATAGCCATTTTTAGAGTGATTAGACAATAATTCCGAATTTAATTCAAAAATTTTCGTTTCAAGTTATGATAATTTAATAATAATAATAACAATTTTATAACAGAAAAATTCGTTATTAGCAGTAATAGCAGACATAAAAGTAAATGGATACATTGAATATATATAGTTGCAATTAATTTATAAATATTTATACATAAATTTATTTATCTCCGGCTTACATACACATGAGTTTATAAATAGGGGATATATATTCATATTCATGTTTCAAATGGAATTGAATGCACAAGCAGGGTGCTCTTATATATACATATACACGCACACATCCTCATACATAGCTATATATAATATAAAATCTATGTAGATATGGGTGTATGTGTAATAGCGATCTAAAATCAAATGCTACTGTAATATTTACCTGTCCGGTTTGCTGAGCGTTGTTTGGATCCCCGCTCTCTTTGCCCCAACTGCACTTAACAGTCTGCCCGTTGATATCCGCGTTGTGAACCGCAACGATTGCGTGTGTTGCTGATTCTTTCGTGGAGAATCTGGAACAAAAAATCAATCACTTTTATACAATTCTTTTATACAATTTAATATTAACTGCCCTTCGCTGTTTTTATATTTTATTTTTATGTTTAAAACAAAAAAATAACCACCTAAATTACGTTTCGCTGCTCGCGAATAGAGAAAACAAAAAATTAACATTTAGATTAAACTGTTGAGCTGTTTTTAACAACACAACATTTTTCCGAATAGCAACACCGCCTTTTCCAGAATAATAATGTTATATAAACTAAAACTATTGTGAACATTTTATTTAATTCGGTCTATTGATTTTATAAACGTTTAAATATCGATCAGTTAATAATCGAGTACTTGATGGGCTAATTATTTTATAATCATTTCATGTTGATTGATAGTGATTTTGATGATGATTATTATTAATTAAACGATCGGTGCTCGGTGCATTAATTACTTCCCGATTGGTCGAGTAATTTTTATTGAGAGCTACTATATAATGACCGCTTCTGTTAAGAGACTAACTTTTGTTTTAAAACTATTCAAAGTATTTTTACAAACTTTTAAGTCTTTATTGATCTGTTTGACGTCAGTTCATTACAGCTGATTGATAATCACTGAAACTCAATTTTACTCGATTCTTCTTAACAGTTTACAAAAGCACCCTCGGGTTATTTTGAAATTGCCATATTATGGCCACTTGCTTTGGGAAGTTTGAGATTTTGAACTACCTGAAGTTGAAGTTAACTTTTGAGAGTTTCAATGGAACTTTGGGGGAGAATTTTAATTTAAACGTTCGAAATTTTAGGTTTTTCCGATAATCATTTGATCGATCTTTAGTGTCTATACATTGAAGAAAATTCTTTAGTTTAGTGATATTATATGAGTGATAATGATAATTACTCCTACCACTATCATCTGTCAAATATAATTAACAAATTGAGCTTTATTATCTTAACAATACAGATTATTACAATTTATAATCAATCAAACCAAATTTTCGAGTGACACTTTCCATTTCCCACATGCGGGCTGTATCTATAGCAATTGATTAAAAGTCGTTACTATGATTACAAACTGATTTATACAATTATCAATTCTGTTATTTAATTATCCCGAACAAAATCATCAACATGTTTTTGAATATTCAAACAAATCAACTCGGGATTATGACATGAATAGAATGGTGGGTTTAATTAGTGCATCGGTTTCATTAGTCTATTTTGTCGTTTATGTTCTAATTTTCACGCTATTTTTTTTTTAATAAAAGAACATTGAAAAAATAATTAAGTTAATTTAAGAGAAACATTTGTGATCCAGGAACAAAATTATTTTGAAGAGAAGCTTGTCTTAATTCAAAAATTCTAAGTTTTTTTGGCTTAAAAATTGGAAATCTGAGAATTAATAATATTTAATAATTCGGTAGTTTTTTTAATCATTATCAACAAGGGACCATTCATTAATTACGTAAGGACAATTCTGGTGGCTTTTATCCCCCCCCCCTACCCCCATGTAAGTATACGTAAGATTTCTTGAACCCCCCTCCCCTTTCTTACGTAAGATTCTATCTTGATTTTCTAAATAATAAACTGTTAGATTAGGAAAGGATCAGTTTTACTAAAATTTACAGTTCAACGTGGACCCATCACTTTTATTTTTTAACCAGTAATAATTTAAGAATTAATTTTAACTAATTAAATTTAAATTTAAAATGTGCTATAATTTTTTCTATAGAACTCAACATGGATAACAATAAAAACATGAAATTTTAATAAGTTATTTTTTTTTCAATAAACAATAAAAATTATTTAAATAAAATAAAAATTCGACTGTACACTGTTCGTTAAAAATTACGAAAACTATTTGAAATCCAAAATGAAATTTGATTTTTAATATTGAATTTGATTCACGAAATATTACGTAAGAATGAATCCTCCCCTCAAAATAAGGACATGTATAGATTTTCTTAACCCCCTCCCCCTCAATACCCTTACGTAATTAATGAATGGCTTCTTAACATCTATTTAAGTTTTCAAAAATCAGCGAAAAAAAATCGATTAATTTTTAGTAAATTTTTAAATATTGAATAATTTGAAGTTTTCTTTTCTTAAATATAAATTATTATTCCTATTATGAAAATCAATGGTTAATTTTAATTTTTAATTTGAAGCTTCTTTAGTTGAAAAAAAAAAAAAAAAAACAAAATTGTTTTTAATTAATTTGAACTGAATACCTCAAAGTGAGAGTGAAATTTTCAAGACAATACATGTTTTACTTGAATAAAATATTTTTTTTCTTTTTTTTTCCAATGTAGACGGCTGTCATAACTTCCAAGGTTTCTAATCTAATTGTTCTCATTCTTTCAGAAAACAACCACGGCGTTTAAGCGGTTAGCCAAGCGTCTCTCCATTGATCAATGTAAGTGTCTTTATTTTTCCATTTATTTACACTCACTAAATTTTTAAATTCTACAAGCTTTTTTATCTACTCACAAAAATTGCAAACTTCCCAATAAAAACAATTCATCTGAAAAAACCAGCAGCAGACAAAAAAACAAGGTCTTGATACAAAATTCACTGAAAAACTCGGAAAGAGTTTCCAAGTTTAAAACCCTCGAAAACTCCCTACAAATCTGAATACGAGTCACGTATCAACTACGGATTGCTGGCAATTATCAATCTTTTCTAATAATTTTTCCCGGAAATTAGAGCAGTTGTTACTCAATAGTTTAGTGAACTTCTCGTAACTATCCTCCATATCTTCTACTTCCATCCCCTTTTTCCATTTTGCACATTAACAATAAGAAGATACGTTTTTGGTAAAGTTTCAAAAAACTTAAAAAATTACACATTGGTCAGATAAAGTTCCAAGCAATGTATCACATTTAATGCATTACCGTATCCATTAGTCAGTAATTTACAACCCGAAACTCTTGTCTTAAATCTAAATTCAAAAACTCTCTAAAGTATTTAATATAATATTGAAGTCAGCAGACATTTGAAAATTTTTTAGACTTTTATACATTGCAAAAAATCGGGAATAAATTTTTGAATGAATAACAATAATTTATGCATTTTTATTAAAAAAAAAATTTACATCGAAGAATTTTCTTCTTAATATTATAATTAAAATCTTTCTTGGAATTAAATAAATTAAAAATAATTAACTCCGCAAATTTTTTACAGTGTAATAAATCATTGTATTAAAAAAACAATTTTAAGAATTGGCATTAAAAATTTTTTTTAATTTATTCTTGTTGAATTTTTTTTTTAAATCAATTTTTTAGTTATGAAAATAAAAAAAAAAAACTTTAATACGTCTGTTAATTTCAGTATTATCATAAAGTATCGGTTTTGGTTCCACGACAGCTAAACAATAATTGCAATTACTGACGATATGATAATCATGATTTATTTGATTAAGCGTTGGAGTAGTTATAGACATAATTAACGTACAATTAACACTCGAAATAATCGACATTAATTAGCACGTTTGATAGGAAATATCTTGTATCTTGTACCTGGATCTAAAATTTAGTTTAAATACACGGCGATACTCGGTGTAATTAAAATAAACACAGATAGTTAAACAAGAGCTGACTGGTGAATGTATACATTGTATTCAGCTGAATTACAATTTAATACAATTTAGATCAGATGTACAAGCATTGTAGAAGGTTTATCTTGGTAAATAATCAAAAGGAAACAATGCCGATGTTTTTATATAACACTTGAAAAAGTTAATTATGTTATTGTTTAATATGCAAGGCGTTGCAATGAAAATGATTTAGTAAATTAGTAGATAATGATAATCACCTTACAAAAGCGTAACCTTTATCCTTGAAGACCCGAATTTCTTGAATAGAGCCAAATGGTGAGAAGGTTTTCTGCATCAGCTCCTCTGTAAGGCCATTTGTTAAACCACCACAGTAAACTGTGCAGTTAGTTGGACTGCTCTGATTGTACACCTCGTCAAAGGTTAATGGCTTAGCGTTTGCTAAAATTGTCACAAAATGAACAAGTTTAATCCATTAAAACAGTGTATTATTTTCGGTTTTATACAGAATTTCCGAGGGAGCTCAATTCAGTCACTAATTATATATTATTATTATTATTATTATTGATTATTTTAATAATAATAACAATATTTTTATAGTGACTAGATCATAAACACTAATTAAGGGGGAACACCACTGTGACGGTCGAAAAAAAAGGTGATTTTCGGGAATTTTTTTGACAGGGAAAATAAAGGATTTTGGGGATCGGATTTTTTTCTTTTATCAAGGGTACATTAAAGACTATTATCCTAGATTTTTATTAAAAAATATTTAATTATTACAAAGTTATTAACAATCTCGTAGAGCACTAAAAAAAATTTCCCCCTCCATGGACGCATCGATAACTCAAAAATGGAACATCTGAAAATGTAAACCCAAATTGCTGTTTAATTAGTAAGGATGTAGTTATCGTTACACGTACAGAATTTCGTGAATTTTGATTTTAAAGATTTTTTTAGCCAGGTTAAAACAAAAAAAATAATGAGAAAATTTTCAATTAGTCGCAATGTTTTTGAAAATTTTAATTTTCAAAATTCTGTACGTGCAACGATACCTACATCCTTACTGATTAAAAAGCAATTTGGATTTTTATTTTCAGATGATCCGTTTTTGAGTTATCGATGCGACCATAGGGAGGGAAATTTTTTCTAGTGCTATACGAGATTGTTAATAACTTTATAATAATTAAATATTTTTTAATAAAAATTTAGGGTAATAATCTTTAATGTATCCTTAATAAAATAAAAAAAAATCCGATCCCCAAAATCCTTTATTTTCCCTGTCAACAAAATTCCCGAAAATCACCTTTTTTTTCGACCGTCACAGTGGTGCTCCCCCCCTTAAGGGGGGAATTCTCATGATTTTTCCCAAAAATTAATATGACCATTTTATAGAGATTAGATGATGATTTTTCACTATGCAAGCACTTTTTAAGTTACTATATCTTCTAAAATATTAAAGATAGCCCAATAGTTTAATAGCGTTTTATAAAGGGAATATTCTAAACTTTAACTTTGGATTCTTACAATTTTTTCAAAAAATCAATATTTCAGGAGTTATAGTCAGTTTTTGAATGACTAGATTATGATTTGGTATTCAATTCAAAAATTTACTTCTTAAATCTTAATAACAATATGAACAATAATAATCTTTTATTTGGCTCAAATATATTAATATTATTATTTTTTCTTAATATAAATTTGTTTTATGAGTTTCAATTGCGTCAATTGATTTGAACGTGAAAAATATGGTGAGAGATGATAAAATAAAAATTTTATTTATTGACCAGGTGCTATTCTTGTAATATTGAATTGTTTTTAATATAGAGTGAATATTATATGAAATGGTTGTTTTTTTTTTTTTTTCTGTAAAGTTTAGCAAATTTTTCAATTCTGGTGGGAATATTTATCACCGCTCTATTCAAACGTTCGGAATAAATATTTCTAAAGTCAACGTCAGATAATAGAATTCCGATATTGAAAAAAAAAAGTTTTTAAAATAAAATAAAATAAAAGGACAAAGAAAAAAACACACAATGGAAATGGCATATGAAAGAGCACGCGTACAGAGAGTCGTATAGGCGAAAAGCGAGGCAAAGTGACGAGCCACCGCAAAGTGCTCGATAATGCTTTAAACGTTTCGCGGTCGGTACTTAAAGTAATATCAATTTTCCCACAATAGTGATGCAGTACCAGCCAATTTGCTATGTATACACTTTATTCTATAAATATGTGTATAAATATATATAAGTATAAAAACATAAAAGTATGTTTGCGGTGAAACAGTGATGGAAAAAATTTACTAACGAAATACTTTATTGATTTCAAGAGAGCTGTTACGGTTTTAAAAGGGGTGAAAAATTATTACTATATTGTAGGATTATGAAAAAATAAAAGGGTTTCACAGCGTTAAGTTTTATAGTTTATGACTTTTAGCTTTGAAAATTTTTTTCGCTATTATTATTTGGAGTAAAGTGGTAAATTTAGTGAAAATGTGAAAAAGCTCTTTGTTAACTTTTTCGTATTTTTTTTTAAGACGAGTTTGACGTGAAAAAAAAATAATTTTGGTGAAAAGGATCGCCGAGATCTCGGAGAGAATACTTAAAGATTTGAAAGCTCCTTGTTCTGATTTCAGTGAGATCATTAGTCGCTGAATAATCGGTTGTCAAAGTAAACCGTCTGATTTTTTATCCGATAGCCGATAACTCGCCGAAAAATAGTCTCGAGAGCCGAGCAAAAGTTTCCGCCGACAGAACATTACATCTGAATCAATAGACTTTATTTTTTATATTCTACCTTTTTTTTTTTTTTTCAATTTTATTTCCATCAATTTACGCGGCTTGTTTCATCACTCTACTACTGGTTAAATCTTGTTTCAAAAGTCTCTCCAAAAAATCTTTAAATTTTGAGCTTTCGATGATTTTTTAATCGCAAAACAATTCGCTTATTACTTAAAGTTCCGCAATCGGAAAAATAATAAAATCTCCACCTAAATAACTAAATTCGTCTCTCAAGTAAAGTACCCAGTACTTGAACACTTCTAAAAATGGGACCAGTAGTTGAACAGACTTTTAGAATTGTTGTAATACAAAATCTGTATATATATTATGAGTAATATGCGCATGTTATAATTATTCAATGATATAGTAATTGATTTGGTAAGTTTTTTCAATTATAAATCAAAACAATTACATTTTTGTTAACTTTAAAGTTGACATGTCGAGAATAACCGATAGATGCTATTTTTTTCATGAAAAAGGTACTAAACCGTAAACCGAACTATCAGTAAAAAAAACGGTATATCATCATTTTAAGTGAAAAAAATTGTACCACCCAATGAAATAGTCTTTTCTAAATAATACATATTTTTTGCAAAGACATTAACTATAATTTTTATATTAAATTTTAGCGTTCAACTATACCTTCCAATTTTCAAAGCGGTACCCAGAACTTGAACAAGCTGGGACCGTATAATTTTAACAGCACTCTAACCTTTAATAGGTTTATTGACTAGTGATCAGTATTGTGACTTGTATTATAATTACTGCAAATTAAATAAGTTTTACATTATTATTTTTAATATTATTCAATAATATGTTATAAATCTTTAAATATTTCAATAAAACGTTAAAAATTTTTAGTGTTCCTATTGCCATATATTTTATTAGTTCAACTACTGCTCCCGGAATGTTCAACTACTGCGACTTGTCAGAATTGATTGTTCAACTACTACTCCTTTCATAGTCTATCTTAAAAACGTTGTCAAATTATAAATATTCAATTATTTGCGTTATTTTGCACTTCAATCAATTCAAAATTGTTTATATTTTCATGAAAATCACTCATTTGAATTAATAATTACATATTTATACATTAAAAATAGGGTCAAATACGTTTTACTTTGAAACCTGTTCAACTACTGGGTACTTTACCTTATTATTGTAACAAATAATCAAATTTTATTAAAATTTTTGGAGATCTCTAACACTTTCCCCAAATGAAAACTTATTAAAATGTTAATTTCAAATGCAATTTTTCCTTCGAAACATAACACATTATTTCAAAAAAGGACGTAAATTAGCATAAAAACCCCGAAAAGAGTGAAGAGTGAGGTGTGGAAAAAAAAAAAACTTTCAGTCCGTCCGTGAACATAATAAGCTTATTAAAACTGAAATGGATAATTAAACGTAGGTGTAGATTAGAGCGTTATTTTATAAATGAACACGATACAAAGAAGAGAAGTCTCTATAATTTTTACAGAAAATTAAATTTTCTTTAATTGTTTTATATCTCCAATGTTTCCTCCGAATTTTAGCTAAAAAAACATTAAAAAAAAATTCATTTAAACATTATTATTAAAAATTGATGCACAGAAGCTTAAATTAAAATCCAGAGACACGGTTCTCTATAAATAATAAAACCAGGTAAAAAATTCAACGACAAAATCAAAAAATTATCTGATTTACGGGATCGATAATAAAGGAAAGCGAATGGCTAACTGGACCGTAAATCTCTTTATTTACCGTCTGGTTTTCTAAACGCACGTTCGCTCCCGCATATAGGATGCCACCTCGTGCGTGTAAACTACCGTCCACGTTATAGTTATAGTTATAGTTAACGTCTACGTCCACGTCCACGTCGACGTCCTCGTGTGTGTTTTATTAGCCAGCTACAGCTAGTTATTAATTTATTTAAAGACGCATACGTGTACGCGAGTAGAGCATATAGGTGTATGTTTAACGTCGAGTACCGCACCAGAGTAGAGCAGAGTAGAGGTGGTTTGTGTGCATTTGTGTGAATTCCCAAGTAGTGTTATGATGCAGCCATGCAGCCAATCAAAAACTTGGCGCAACAAGCCAAACCGAGTGCCGTGTAGTGTGTGCCGGTATAGCGTGTTGTCGGCAGGGGAATTGCCGTATATATAGTCAGGCAGTCGACAACGTACGTTCAATGCTTCGTTTCCAGTTTTGCTTATTAATATTTCGCGATAGTCTATAGGCTTTAGGCTACTCTGTCTGTATATGTATTTATATATCAAAGTATACATACATATTTGTGCTTTACTAATACTACCATCGGGGAAAACTAAACCAGGAAAACTCACTTCGAAAACACAGACCCCGTGTCGACATTTAGAATTATTTTAAATTCTACATACTATAATCCTATTGAGTAAATATATAAATAAATTAATATACACATATACCATATGTGGTCGGATTTTTCTTGAAACTTATTTTATGGATTTTTATAATATTTTTTCTAGATAAAAATTGAAATAAAATTTTTTAATACATCGAGAATTTGAAAATATAAGAAAATTTTTAACTCATTTGTGGTTTTTTATTTTATATTTATTTTTAATAAATTAGCGTTTATTCAATTTTTTCTATTCGATAAAAATTTATTTCACGAACAATTAATGAATAAGGTAAAAGACCCCATTAGTGGCACCTTTAACCCCCATTAGTGGCACTTTTTCTTTCAATGAAAAAATGTTCTACTTGGAATAAAAATTAAAAATTTTTTTGATCAAAAGGTCTTAAAGATTAGAAATAATATATTTATTATTGAAATTAATGATTTAATTAATTAAATAAGTACCAAAATCAAAGAAAGTGTCAGTAATGGGGTCCCCGCCACTAATGGGGTCTTTTACCCTATTGCTATTTTTAAAAATATATAAAGAAATTTTTTTAATTTTAGACTATATGCTATAAGGATCAGTTAAATGCACAGAAAAAAAATTTACTTGAATCAAGTAATTTTGAAGAACTTAATCTTATTGATTTGAGTAGAAAAATTCTTAAACGAAGAAATTTTTTTTAGTTTAATGAAATTTAACTTGATTCGAGAATTTTTCGTCTTGATTCAAGTTAATTTTCTTTTCTACACACAGTAAAAAATTTTATGTTAAATATTTAAGACTTTTTTGTGTTGATTTAACAGAACAAATGTTAAATTTACACATAAAAGTGTTAAACATTTGACACAAACATTTTTAACACTAAATTTTTTGACGCAATGACGCAAAATTTTTTGTCGTGTATGTTGAACTCAAAAAATGAGTTTTGATTTTCTATCTCATATTTTTTCCATCACTTGTAAAATATTTAATTGTTGATTTAAAAATCATGTCAAATTCGAATGAAAAATTTAATCTCAATTATAAGAGTAGTAAATTAGTTATATCCAAACAAAGATTGAAAATTCAACTGACATATTCGATAATTTCGAAATAAAATTGAAATTTTAACTCGAGTTTTTTTAATAAAATTATCACTAACTCATTCAAAATTTAAACAAAGTACACTTTATCAAAAATGAGGGCTTATATTTTCGACAAAACATAATTTACCTAAACCTCTAATAGCTTTAATTTCGAGAACTAAATTTCATATAAATTTACGGAACAAATATAAAAATCTCAGCAGTATAAATTAGAGTGACTTGAATCGTACTTATTTTAAATAAAAGAAATGATTGTAACTCGGCAACCTCAGGTACAATAGTCAGTATAAATAAATAAATGAGTAAATAAATAAATAAGACAACAAAGTGATGCAAGTGTTGGCCTAAATTATAAACTCGGCTTTAACTTTTCGTGTTATGTCGAGTAAGCATTTTCTTTACTTAAGATATTATTATTATTATTTTTTATATTTTTGTTGTTGTTATTATTTTTTTGCTTTTTCAATAAAAAGTTGAAAGTTCTTGGGGAATACTAATTAAAGAGTACGCAAAATGAAATTAGTTGGTCGACTGCATACAAAAATAAGAGGGCAAAAGTGAGCAAGTAAAAAGAAATATAATAATAATAAAGATAAAGAGAGAAGAAGAAAGAGAAGAGAGAGAAAGAGCAACTTTGTCTGGGAACCGCTTAGGATATTATAATAATGCCTTCACTTTCAGTCTACACTTAGCCTTTAAGGTACTGGTACAAAAGTCCATCGAGCTTGTTGCATACATATATCGTTAAATAAAATAAAATTAAACTTTATCAAAAACTTTTGTAATTTATAGAGCATCAAATTGATGTATTGATTGATAAATATTAATTAAATGGAGGAAAGTTGAATTGATTGGTAATTGGTGACTGGTGATGGGTGATTGGTGATTGCTTGATAAAAATAAGGAGGTAAAAGCAAATATAAAAAAAAAAATAGAGAAGAAGTAGAATTGAGCATTGAGAATTGAGAATTGAGAATTGAGGGAGGAAAAAGAAAACGAAAGAAAAAAAGGTTTAAAATAAATAAATTTACCTTCGGATTTTGGAGGTGGTGGTTTACGTGTCGCCCAATTTGTTCGGATGCTTCTGCTGCCAAGCCACTGGCCATTCATCGCGCCAATTGCACTCTCCGCCTCCTGGAAAAATAAATAGAGAAAAAATCTACGTAATAAACTTAAATGTACATTGCAGTCTTTACCCTCGGCTGTCAAGAAGTGGGTTTGCCTGCGTGATTGACCGCGTTTATATCTCGGGTGAATTTATTTAAAGATTTTATTCAACAATAAATTTAATTATTTTTTTTTTGTTTTGGTTCGAGCGAATAAAATAATTAGCAGAATATATTTGTTCATTCGAGTTTGAAGGGAGGACAATAAAAAATAATTAGTGACATAGGGCCAATTAAATTTTATTTAATTGATAATTAAAAAATATTGATATTTATATTTATGAGTTTATTAATTAACAATTTAATTAATTCGATAAACAGCCGAGTGGTGATTGTTATTTTAAATATTAAAATAACAATTCGAAATTTTTTAGTATGATGTGAAATATTTTAAAATCAGTTTATTTTTTTTCTATAGAAAAAAATTTGGGTTAAAAATAAATTTTTCTCATCCTAAAAATGGATTGAAGTATCTAAATTTTTTGTAGCTCTGTAAAATACACCTCTATTTTTTCATTCTTCCGCAATGTATATCGAAATCAATACTTGAAGTTACCCTTGTACTGATACAAAAAAAAAATCTATGAAACAAATGACAAAAATTAGCAAAAAAATAAAAATAAAAAAACAAGTAATAACAAGTTGACGAGCCTCGAGTGGCCAGTGTCAGCATAAGTAGAGGGAAAACGTAAAATGGAAAAGTTGGGCAATCTAGTTGAATGACTAAGTCAAAGCCAACAACAACAGTTACGGTTACGAGTTACTGCTAAACAGTAAGTTGACTTACACGTGGCGTTCAAATAACTTTATTTAGTTAAACATTGAGACCTGGATATAAGCACTCAATTATACACTAGCTGTCCTTATTTATTGAGTTTAAGTTTAAGTTCCCCAGTACTTGTCTACACTGTGCGTGTTACTTATACATTATTAACTATTAACGATATTTGTGTCATCGCATTTAAAATTAATAACAAAAAAAAAGTCGATTTAACGTCAGAATTCGCAGACAAAAATTGTACGTTAAAATTACAGAAATGGGCATGTAAAAATTACACTATAATTTATGTGTGAAAATTAATTTAGCACATAAGTATTTAATAATTTTGTAAAAAATAAATTATTGCAGAAAAAAAAATGAGAAAAAAAAATTGATTTGTAGAAATTTAAAAAAATTTAATTTTTTTAAATATTTTTTTGTAAAATAAATTTAAAAAATTGTCAAGTGACTGCTAATTTTAATGTCATTTTTGTGTTATATTTAGAAAAAACATTTACATTTTTTCCAATCTAAAATTCACTAATTTTTTAATGATATATTTACATTTTTTTTTGTTACAAATTTACTAATTTTTTTTACATGCCAAATTAAAATTTTTTGCAATGTAAAATTTAGATTTTAAAATATAAAAATATAAATTCAACTGTTATGTCTTGACAAGAGTAAAATCGTAAATTGAAGAGATAACTCTATGATTTTGACAGTACGTTTTTTTTCTGAGTTGTTTTTCCGAGCGTGAAAATGATGTCGTTGTTGGTAAAATGGATTTAATTTATAAAGATGATGAAATCGGAAATTTGAAATTTAAAATTTAAAATTTAAAATATATAATAAGGAGTTGATCGGAATAATAGGACCGGGAATAGAAGAGCAACAGCAACAGTTGCAGTATCCGTGAAATTTGTTGGTACGGCACCCCCTTAGCCTTTACTTGGGAATCTAATCTTAACACGTGGGATGCGCCGAAGCTTGGCTGGACGGTTCTGCGAGTAGCTAGTGCTACTGCTGCAGCCCAGATCAATACGGCATTAAAACAGCTGCCTTTGGCCAGTCCCTAGGAAAAGCTGGATACTCCTTCCTCCCCCTCACCCGACTGGGCTCACCCTATTCTCCTCTCACACTATTCTTCACACGTACACCGATCCACACAAACTGACAGACAGAGCTTATACACTTACACGTATGTATATACACACAATCATACTTAGCACTTTGGTACTCTGTACTCTCTACGCTCACCAGGATGAGAAAAGCTCCTCAATCACCTGCTCGTAACTATCTGCGTTTGTCGGTAATTTACGTTGCGGATTTTCAGCTCATACTTATACGCTACTATCTATACATATATATATATATATTGCTCAAACGGGTCTAAAGTTTTATTCTAAAAGTAGATCACTGTAATTTCTTCAATTTACTTTTTTATTTGTTTTTTCCACGTTTAAAACATTTTTTAGAGCTTTTTATTTCATCTTTTTTATTTCTTACTCTCGATATATGCTCTTTACCTTTGAAACTTTTATTGTGGAAAATTATATTATCAGCTTATTCAGATAAATATTCTGGTTTAATTTTTTTTTTTATTTTTTATTCAATTTTCTGTTAATTATTTTTGTGGAAATTTTAATGAATTTTTTTTTATTAATAATATGAAATACATTTTATGAAAAAAATTTTTTTTTTTAGTTAGATTCATAAAAAATTTAATATATATAAAAATGATGACAATTCTTTCGCAGCTATTTCATTTTTTTAGATTTTTTTGTTAATTGTATTTGTAAAAATTTTAATATTTTTTTTCATCAATAATACAAAACATATTTCCTTTGAAAAAAAAATTTTTTTTCTCTAATTTGATTCACAGAAAATTAAATAAATAAAAATATTAAAAATTTTTTATCTCTGGTTTAATTATTTTTCTGTGGAATTTTTCTTTCAATTATTTAAATTAAAAAATAAAAACTGAATTTTGAATAAGTGCGAAATTTGATTATTTAAAAAAAAAACTAAAAATAAAGTTTGATTAAAATTAGACAAAGACTTAATCACGAGAAGTGTAATTTTCGAAGGAGAAACCCAAAATCAAGCGAACAAAAGGCTGGTAAAAAAATGTAAGAACGACCTAAAAACTGTCTGGTTATATTTATGGAATGACCGACATTCTGTCATACGCGGTCGTCTATCGGTCGTAGCTATAATTTTAATAGAGAAAGTGTCTGCTTTAAATATAAACATCGATGTCGTATAATATCAGCAGTATAAGTCAGTATTTACTTAAAGTTATTTATTAAATTCGTCGAAGCTAATTCCCTTGGCGCTTATCTGGTAATTTCGAAAATAAATAAAAGTTTAAACGACCGGATCGGTATCAGTAACCGTGTCGAGGAATCGAAAAAATAACCGAGCTCAAGAGCACTTAAATCTGCATGTGGAAATTTAAGTAGATGAAATTCAGCAAAGTTTCAGGTCACGGCAGATAAAAAAACTCGTAAATTTTTTAATTTGTCTTTGCTCAAACTCGTAACTCGCGAGTATCGAACCGCGGGTCCTATTAATTAATTGCATTCGATGGCTGACAGCTTTAGCTTTGCATCGAGTGCTTCTCTTCGAGATAGAACATTTTTTATCTTTCCATAAAACGATAAATTTACATGGAAAAATTAATAAAATATTATTTAAGCTCCAAGACCTTTTTAGAGCTCTTGTGTCACTTTATTATGATTTTTTTTTCTTATTATAACGAACCAGGGTTGCAATTTTTGAATTAAAAAATTTCTAATTGGAGATTGAAAATTTAATTTTCGATTTGAGTGTTGGGATCAAAAATTAAAAAACTAATTTTTAATGAGGTTAGAATTAAAATATTTCAAGCATTATTCGCAACTCTGTAACTAGCAATTTTTTTCTATTTTTATTGTGATGAAAAAAAAATTGCGAATCAATGGAAGATTGTTATTGATCTGAAAAATTATTAATTAGAAAACAAAATTTTTATCATTCTCCTAATTAATGTAAATTATAATAAAAAATAGCAACCTTACAGTCACTATGTGACTGCCGTGACTTGTAATCTATAAATAAATAAAATTTTACTTTATTAAACAATGACTTTTGTTAAATTGCACTGTACTTTCTTAAATATCGACGTTTTTAAAGATATAAGCTCATTCCGATGTTACACTCATCAAGAGCTTTCATTTGAGTACCCACACGCATTTTGATATATTTTTTATATAGGTACTTAAATGAAAGGTCTTGATGAGTGTCACATCGGAATGAGCTTATATTTTTAAAAATGTCAATAATTGACGAGATACAATGTTATTTCTCAACTATTGACGTTTTCAAAGGTATAAGCTCATTCTGATGTTACACTCATCAAGAGCTTTCATTTGAGTACCCACTTGCATTTTTAATATATTTTTTATATATACATATATATAATATATATAAATATATGAAAAATTGATGTGGGTACTCAAATGAAAGGTCTTGATGAGTATAACATCGGGATGAGCTTATATCTTTAAAAATGTCAATAGTTCACGAGAAACAAAGTCATTTTTTAATGATATAACTAGAGATAGAGCATTTTCAAATGCAGCCTAAATACTTATCATAAATTGACTATTAGTGCGAATGATATGAAACCATGAAAAGGCACAACTCCAGGCCAAGACTTTTCCAACGATACCAAATTCAACCACAAAAACCCATTTTATCATATAAATACACCGGCCACAAAATTTAACTTATTCTCTTAATTATATAGATAATAACCGTGACAATCGTATCCGGTTTTTCAATCAATAAAACGTTTAAAAAAGTTTTACCGATAAGAAATATAAATTAAATAAATGAAAAGATAAATTTGTCAATATAAAAAAAAGTAAAAGACCAGACAACCTTTTAAGTGAAAATAAAAGTTTAAAAAGTTTTTTAACCAATTAAAAAAGTGTAAAAGTAAAGTCATAAGTTTTGTAAAAAGTCGATAGGAAAGTATTAAGAAATAAAAATCGAGTGAAAAACAAAACAAAAATAGTTATTTATTTTTTTGTTCTGTCGGTTGAAGGAAATTTAACAATAAATTTGAAATTCAAAATTTTATTCTTTAAGTCAACTTACCACTTTCTTCACAAAAGATACAAATCCATATCCTTTAG